AAAAGGAAAAAGTGCTGACATCAAGACAAAATGGCATTGGCTGCTTTCGCTCCGCGGAAGGCGGCTCGTCACGGTATACCATGACCTCAGATCTTGTGCTAATACGATTGTTGCTGCTGCCCTGTGACACACGCTGCAACCATGCAGTCTACTAAGTTATTTAGAGGTGCCGTCTCCCTGCGTTGCTGCAAGTCATCTTTTATAACTACATCATCCTTACCACGAGTATCCGCTGCTAGGATCACTTCGACTACTTCCAGGGCTTATTCGTCAACTCCTCCAAACAATAACGACCGCCTCAAAGGCCCAGTTGAAGCTTCATCAACCATGCAGTCAGTAAAGAACGCCATTGCCGAGAACCTCGGCAAGGTCGTCTCTGGAGCCCATGATCTCGCACCTGCAGACCAGCAGTTCTCGCTCGAGGAAGTGCCAGATCTCAGCGGCAAGGTCGCCGTTGTAACCGGTGGCTCAGAAGGAATCGGCTACGGATGCACACATACCCTCCTCTCACACAACATCAAGAAGCTCTTCATCATCTCCATGAGCGAAGACATCATCGACGATGCACTCAAAGCCATCAAGGAAGAGATGGGCGAGGACAAGGCCAGCAGAGTCGAATGGATGAAGTGCGATCTCTCAGACTGGGAAGCAACTGGCAAAGTCGCTTTCGAGATTGCCAAGAAGACAGACCGGATTGATATCCTGATCAACAACGCCGCGAGAGGTATCATGACATACCAGCTTGCCAAGAACGGTGTCGATTTACATATGGCTATCAACCACATGGGCCATGTAGTCCTGACCTCTCACCTCCTGCCTTTGATCAAGTCCACAGCCGACAAGGGCAACAAGGTCCGTCTTGTACAACTCGGCTCCAACGCACACGAGAGTGCACCCAAGGATGTCAAGTTTGAGTCTCTTGAGGAGCTCAACCAAGATCTCGGCGCTATGGGACAGTACGGCCGCACAAAGCTCGCTTCCATCCTGTACGCACGCTACCTGGCTCGTCACCTCTCTACCTCGCACCCCAACATCCTATCCAACGCTACACACCCCGGTTTCGTCGAGACACGGCAGTCTGTCGACATGATCCACGAGCCCTACCCGTTGGGCGGCTACGCTATGAGCGTTGGTATGGCGCCGTTCAAGAAGACGCAGTTTGAGGGTTGCGTAAGCACCATGTACGCGGCGACCAAGACAGAGGGTACTGGCGAGTACATTTGCCCGCCTGCGATACGGGAGCCGGGTAGTGACTTGGCGAACAATGAGAAGCTGGGCGAGCAGTTGATGGACTTCACTACGAAGTTGGTCAAGGAGAAGACTAAGAGCTCGAGCGCTGATAAGGGGTGTCCATTCAAGACGTACTAGAAGCGTCCACGTAGAGTAGGCAGTGCCAATTACTTCGAATATGAGCAAATGTGCCTCGTTCATACACCAAATATGCCATGTGATGCCGCACTTTTCGAGACTGAAGAACCTTATGGCCGTAATTCGTTGCGTCTCATTCCAAACAACTATGGTATCGCTCGCTTGGCGCCTTGCAGACTGAACCCATAACCCATACCAATGACCCAGAATAATGCAATGCATGAAACAACGCCTAATCTCCACAAGGCCGAAGCCTACTAAGCAATACCCTCCATACCCATGGGTACCTGGAAGCCACTCAAACCTTCTCCAGCACTCGTCAACCGTGCGCAAAGACTCAAGAAGACTACTGTTTCGGTAGCAGCGAGGTAGTTCAGTGTATCCAGCAGGATCTTAAGATGCCGGGTGAAGTTCTCCTCGTACTTGGCTAGCATGTCGAACATTTTGTCGACGCGCTGGGGGTCGTATACGAACTGCGTTGTGGGTCTGTGTGTAGAAGCGACTAGTGTAGCAGCAGGATTCTTCGAATTTTTAGCGGGAGGAGGAGGAGCAAAGGATGCGTTGACCTGGGCTACTAGGTCGGGGTCGCCGGTGACGAGGTAACGAGAGAGGGAGTAGGTGAAGGACGCGAACATGCTGCATGTTGACATGATTTTGTTGTTGATCTGAAGTTGATTAGCAGCCGTAGAGGCTGTAAAAGTGTTGTTTGACTTACTCGAAGCAGCTTACTGTTAGTAAGCATGCATTCCTTCAAGCAAGTCGCGAGGAAGTCAACATGGTCCTGCATCAGCTCGTCGACAGTACGCTTCACTTGAGGCCCACCGCTCTCATCCTCCGTTGCCTTGCCCTTGGCCCTTGCGTCCTGCTTCTTCTCTTCGCTTATCCGCGACATCAACGATGCCCAGTTTGGCTCAATGACCTCAGATGTGCAGTAGTAGGTAAGTTGTTGGACGAAGACCAGCATACGCGCTCGTAGTGTCCACGCTCGGCGTTTCCACTGTTCAATCCGCGGGTTTTTGGATCGGTGCTTCCAGGCTGCGTTCTTGCCCTGCTCACCCCAGCACTTGGCTAGATCCGTTTCGAGGTGCTTCAAGCTCAGTAGGTATCGGAAGAGTAGTTGGTAACGAGTGAGTGTGACTCTGCTAACCACCAATGACAGTGGGAAAGGCATGGCGTAGTCAAAGACTAGCGCTTGGTATCCAGTGATGTTTGTGTCGTCGGTGATCGGCGCTGAGTTCGCGGGTGTGTAATTGGACAACGTAGCGGTGGCAGCATCCTGGTCGAGACCCTGGACATTGACAATCTTCATGAGCCAGTTCGTGAGTCCAGTATCGTTAATCTGAACCTTGATGTCCTCCTTGTATGGGTCTTCCACAGCGACTGATCCAGCATGTCGAGTGGCGAGATCCAATAGCGACTGCAGCTTGCCGACGTTAACATGCTTTGCTGGTTTCTTGAGCTCAAGCTCGCTCATCTCGAGGAAGTAGGTGAAGAAGTCGGAGCGATCGAGGAAGAAGTAGTGCTTTAGTGAACGTAACCGTGCCGGCAGTTGGTGTGTAGTGAGAAGCAGATTGAGGAGAGATGAGTTTGCGTATGCGTATGAGGAGTTGACGTTATCTAAGAAGCGTGGATCGTCGAAGCTGGTGGGCGCGTCTTGCACGACTTTACTAACGTCGACGCCTCCGCACTCCCTTACCACGTTGAGGTACTTTCCTGCCAGGAGCACTTTGTCTTTGACAGCTTCAAGCTGTGGTGGTACGAGGGCATCGCGTATCGTGTATCTCTTCTCCCAGTATTCGTCCGTGTAGTCCTGGTCTAGGCGCTCTCGCTTGATGCTTCTCTGCTCTTTGATCAGGAACTCGGAATGCGGGTCCTTGATGCCGCCGTGATGTAGCCACTCGTTCAACATAGCCATATACGGTCTGCTAGCCTCTCGTAGTAGTGTGGTCAGTAGTGCGCGAGCTGCAGGGTCACCAGACATCGACGATAGCCGCTTGGTAATGAGTCCGAGCACACTTCCGCCTTTGCAGAGCTTCTTGGCGGCGTTTCCTCCTTCACGCAACGACTCCAATATATTCTCGAAATCATTGCTATCGTCATCAGCCGAGTCTTCATCCTTGTCGTCTTCCAGAATGCCGTTGGCCTTCAGCAGCTCGATCCCGGTGGTGTAGAGCTGGAAGAGCATGTGGCTAGTCTGTTTGGTATGCAGACTCAAGACGTGCAGAGTGAAGGACTCGTTCGTCAGCAGCTGGTGCTCAAGTTGCGCAACGAGTATGAGGTAGTCCTTGAGCAACCGTCGCACAGCCGCGCACAACGCATGATTCACGGCACCGTACTCTTCCCGACTGAGCACCTCTACGCAGGTCTCGACAGCGATGTAGTGTGTAGCAGTCTTCAGCATCGACTTGGTCAGATCTCGCAAGCTGGGGTCGAGGCCGGGCATTAGGCGGAACTGTGGCCCTACCAGACGTTCCTTCTCTTCGTGGGGATTGTAGCCATCGCCGAATCGAATGTACTGCCCCTCAAAACCCATGAAAACAAACAACAGATCTTCCAGTATAGCCTTCTCTTGTGCTTCTAGCGATAGTTTTGCGAGTGGTGTGGGCTGCAGCGATATAGGCGCGGTGGATGCGAGCGGTGGTATCGAGATGCGCGTCGCCAACGGGGCGGTCGTGTGTGGTATCAAAGAAGCCTGCGGTTCCCACGGCATCTGGGGCTCTTCGGGGATAGACTTTTGCGAGGCGGCGCTGCGTGAGGGTCGGTCGACGTCGCGTGGGAGTTTCTCTGAGCGGCTTCGCGCATTCACCCTGCTCTCGCTGGCATGCTTCAACGGGCTCTTTGTTCGCCTGATCTCCGTCTCCCGCTCGCGCACCTCCTTCTTCTCTGTGCGACGCTCGCCCGAAGTGGCGCCTGTTGCGCGCATGGGTGCTGACTGTTTCCTGGCATGTGACGCTGCGGTGGTCGAGCTACGACGGTCGAGTTCCTCTCCAGAAGCGACGCGGGGTCGCGCAGTCGACGTGTAGTTGGCATTGACGGAGCGGCGATCAGCGCCGGACAGCGACTTCATCGTGGGCACGTTGCGGGAGGACATGTTGGCGGGCAGGGCACTCCATGGAGCCCGGGGTACTTTGGTGTTGCTTGTTCGCTGCGCCGAGTCGTGTTTGGGCTGCAGTAGCCGTGTTGATCGGGTCCCGCTTCACTACGCGTCGACTCGCGCTAGCCACTAACCGACCCATGACGCACCTGGGCAGGCACGCCGACCTTCTGCTTGCACATTCGCATTCTTTACGGGCTGTGTAGTACCTCTTCTCCTCGCCGTGCACAGGAACGAAATAAGCCTATTTCAATGCTGTCGACATGCGCCCCAGTTCCTATGCTCCCATTCAACGGACAGAAGAGCTTTCACAGTCAGCCAGCACGGCTGATCGCTGTTGACTGGTCCTTTGCAGCCTTGGAGTCATTGTACACCGTTGCCAGTCGACCTTCACTTTGAGTATGTTTTCGCTGAGGTGCACCAAATTACACATTGGATTTGTAATCTACGACAGATACTACGTACACCTAGGTATCCATGCCACTGTAGACTACTCCGTCTTCTCCACCCATCGACCAGATCCGTCCTTCACATGTTTTTAGCGTCGTTCCGAAACCAGATATAACTGTGTTAACACATGACACTTCTGGTGTTCATCGCCTTTAACAGGGCACTCGAGACGAACGACACCAGCCCAATTTTCATTTTTGTCCCCAACTGGTCCCTGACCATAGTCCCAGCCCTTGCCGCGGTCGTGGTTCAGTTGAAGTCCCGCGTACTCAATAGCTCTAGTACGGTCCGTAAAGGATTTCTGTACAGCCACAGAAACGAGACTCGGATGATTTCGGTATATCACCGCTTCTTGGACCTTCTCTTCACATATATGTGAAGGATGCTTAAGCAAAACTCGGTCCGGCGTATCAAATTTCTCTGGATACTCAACGCCATTGTTTCTGAGTTCCTGGTAGCTTTGACGAGGCATGGCAGACTTCTCGTAACAATATAAACTTCGCACAGGCCGTTCGCTGAGGGCCTTTGCGACGGGCTCGTTAGGCCTCTTCTCAGCCTCGATTTGACCAAACCTCATATCTTCCGTGTCCATGATATCGTATAGGTATTTTCCGGTCTTTTGCCACTCTAACAACGAGGCGTCGAGACGTTCTTCCGTCATGTAACTAATGTTGTAGTCTCTTGCTAACATCTGACACCACCCCCATAAATCTTCTCGCAACAGCTTTTGCTCCTCGGTCGAATTACCGTAGATGCCAAGAAACTTTTCAGGAAGGCCGTGGTATGGAGGATCGATGGTGACCCAGAATACGGTATCCTCGTGGAACTTGGACATGGCGTTCGCTGTCGTTATCTCCGACTGAATCCATCTACCAGAAGTCTTGTCGCGTTTCCACTCTGTGACAACAATAATATGTGTCAGGTAGTCTTCATATGTCGTGTGGTTTCTTTGCGTCACGACACTGACCCAAGGCTCGACGCAGCAGTCCAAAACCCTTTCTTTGCCATCCAATTTCTTCCTCTGCTTAGAGGTTTTCTGCTTAGCATAGGTTATAGCCTCTTCTTGGGATGTATATGTGGCCCACTTTCCCCCAATCCCAAACTGATTGCTGCTTGGCGTGACATAAGAAGCTATCATATCGCGTAGCTCAGTCTGTGAAGCAGGGATAAAAAGATTCTCGTCCGCAATCTCTTCGGCGTATATAATTCTGCACTGATATATATTTGGCGGATCTGGCTGTCTGAGTGCCTCCGCCACGCCTTGACCGCGGTTTCTTGCCCTGTGGACAGAAAACAAGAAGTGGCCATCTTTGTCCATCGCTCCACCGTATAGTTTTTTTTTGTCATCATCCTCCGGGTATTCTTTAAAAACGTCACCAATATTTTTATCGAGTTCCTCTACCGATACACCATGGTGGCTTCTGTCCTCTGATGCGCAGAGGTCATGTATGGCTTTTTTCAGGGAATTCCGCTCCTCCGCTGAATCGCCAAAGATGCCCGCATATTCTTTCGGGGAGTACTTCGTGAAGGCCCAGTAATACACGTCTTTCGCTTCGTCGGTCATGATGATGGGTATATTTTAAGATGCTCCGCTGAACTGTGGCGATACTTTCGGGATTTGGAGGAGAAGGCGATTTTGAATGTTCAATGTTGGCATGGAATTGGAATGAGCAGTAAGTTCTCAATTTATATGCTACAGACCTGAGTCACTAGCAATGAGTTGCAGCCATTCTAGTCATCGATTGGGTCATGCCTACAGTCACTTTCGTATGACACAGCTTTGCTGACTCAGAGTTATTGTCATTTGGGAGGCTTCCCCCACGAACATTCCCAACTATCCCTCGGCATCGTTCGCGACAACACTCAAAACTATCATGACCTGTCGCATACTCGAATAATCTTTGAGCCATTTCTTCGTGTCTGGCACGGCTTGGCTTAGCTCCCTCATCTCGTCGCATGCTGTCAACAATGATCCGGTCTGGGCACCAATGCTACTCAACCGAGTTTCAACACCATTCGATCCCTGCTTGCAAGGCCAAATGAGCATGTCTTCAGCCTTTTTGCATGGTACGAAGCATTCTTGCCAATCTACCAACTCTTTTTTGTGCATGCTGCACGAGTAAACAGTGTACAAATCTGCTTTCTCTCCTTTTTCTTCACATTCGCGGATCTTTTCCACGACTTCAGAGCTGGACGACAACAAGCTGCTGACCCCAAAACCCTCGCGGTTTTGATCGCCCGCTATATTCCGGCGCTTTTTGAGAGCTTGGAAGTTGAAGCCCGACTGGTTTATCTCGTCTCCGATCCTTGCAAGTAGGATATCGTTCATTCCTTCGATGTTTAGTTTGCAAAGGTTGAGAAGACGCTTCCGTGCTGCGTCAAGACCGCGGTCGGTGATCAAGTAGGGCCCGATTAAATCTCTCTTCTTGCGGTAGGTTACTTGTAAGTAAACGAGGTCCCTGTCGGGGTTGAAGTCTTTGTCGGAGGGCATCTGAGAAGAAGATTGTGCCAGCTCTGTGGTGGTGTGAATTTTGCTGATTTTGGGCTTATATATGTGATAGATACAAGTTTAGCATTTGGGAAACGAATTCCGTAGGGTATTTATACATGAAGTGGTTGAAGCAATGACTCAACCTCGACAGTCACGAACCAACACACACACGGACCTCCATGATACCTTTCGCAGCGCACAGATCTTTCCTGACCGCTGTATCAGTTTCCCATCTATGACTAAGAAAGAGTTCGGGGTAGTCGTAGCAAGCTTCGCAAGCGCCATACGTTGCTGAATTACCTAGGTACTTAGCATATATGCTGACCATCCAATACGATGTCAATCCAGGCGACCGCTACCCACCACGATGTCTCAACATACTAAAGGTTCGGATCCTGTACTCCAGCCCCAGATGACGAACCGCATTTCAGGATCACGCCGATCTGCCCCACTACTTTACAAGACTCAGATGGCTCTCCAGGCGTGATCTCACTATCCAAAAGAACGACACCCGCCCAAACATACCATGCCGTCGGGCGCAGCTCTTTAAACTCTCTTCCATCTTCTTGCCCTTTGCGAAGCTCGTTCTTCGCATGTTCAATGGCATCAGACTCGTTGATAAAGCTTCTGAAATCATCTCCCTGTTCCAAGCTTTTATGCCCATTCTGCCATGCTAAAATGATCTTGGAATAGTCATGCGCAAGATCTTTGATCACGACCTTCTCTGCCGCAGCTGTCGACATGTAAGCTTGACGAAGCTTCTGCGTATGGTAGATACATAGTTTGGGCGGAGAGGGTGATTGAAGCGCGTCTGCGACCGGCTTGTTGGGTTGCTTCTCGTGTCTTATGCTAAAAAACTCTATGTCTTGGTCGTCTTTGGCAAGGTGTTCTCGTGTGCCATCGCCGAGCCCCTTAGCTAATTCATCGGCGAGTCTCTTTTCATTGAATCGATCGCCTCTGTGATCTTTACAGTAATTCGACAGATCCGCCCACATCAAATTCAGCGATTCTTCTGATTTGCTGTAGACAATGCTGCTGTTGTTATGCCAATAATAGTGGACGTGGAATACCTCGTTCTCCTGGGAACCGGACATGGCAAGTTGTATGGACGAGGCTTTGTAACGTGGTAGTACCTGGGTATGATAGGCGTAAGTAAGGTACGTAGTATGTAGGGGATCTCGGTATGCGTACGAACCTAGAAAGACGGAGTCTTGACTTTATACCACAGCACCTTTGAGTCATGTACAATGACTAACAGCAACCTGTTAGTCATACATGGACTGTAAGGATGAGCTGTAAGTCGAAGTAATACACTTCTAGTCCAAAGCTGTCACAAGCTTTACGAGTTTACGACACACTAATGGTGATAATGAAGCTCACGGTACCTCGGCACACATCACAGCGCGAAAATGGTTCGATAACATCTCAAATAGGATAGAATCGACAAAAGGATATCTTACCCCCAGCGCAATTATGTAGAACCCCGACAACGTGATGGAAGTTTCGATCCTTGATCCAACATGAGGGTCATCACGAGCACCAGTTTGTCCTTCAAACCCCGTGGTGATACCGGTTCTTCCTAGCCATCACCTACGCTACATTGGAGTAGTCACAAATGCTAGTTCCCACTTACGGTGCATACAGAGAAACCTACGCGACCTTTGCGAACTAAAGCATATGCAGATTGGTCATCTGTAGGTACGTTGCACGAAGCGAAGAGCACCATGTAGCTTTTGCATCGGTCATCTCCCTGTAAATTTCTCGCGAACGCTATCTTTCAGGACTGAGGAGGCTGCGTAGTCCATGTAGATCCACTTGATCGGCTGAAGATGAGTCCACGATGTAAGCCCGGTTCACGGGAACTCCAACGTATATTGCACAATCTCCACCTAGGGTTCGCTCATTACTCATCGTGTCCATTCGACTCAGCAGATGTGTCACATCGCTGTCAGGCACAGACATGTTTTCTTTGTCCTCCTGACGGGACCGTGTTGTGTACCTCCGAGGCATCCGCTTTCCAGTAGTACGCACGCATTGGTCAGGGCCATGAACCACACCTCGGAGTGACCGAATAAACAGATCTGAATGTTGACTTCAGCCTTGTCAGTAGAGCTTTCTCATGGCTGGATGGCAGCGGCACACAGAACGTCCTGATGAAACGCACTGTTCACTACCGAATATGTGCAGTGCGGTGTGGACTCGGTGTCACTCAGTCCTGTTCATGCTGTCGGTATAGCTGTCGGCATAGCCGGCGCCGACGGAAGTGACGTCCTGAGTGTGCATCGTGATGTTCGTAAACTTGGTTCGCTCATGGTGTAGTTGGGACGTCGAAAACGTCAAGGTAGAGACGAACTAGTTGACGCACTCTCGCGCAGCCAAAATAAGCCAAGCTCTCGCGAACGAGTGAAAACAGGGAGTATATAGACAGGTGCTGAGAGCTTCGTGGTCTTGGTGTTGCTGTGGTCCTTCGCTCAGGGTCAAATCGGAAGCTGCGAGCATTCGCGCTAGCCGAATTAAGCCACACTACGTCATTTGCAAGTAGGATGGCGAGCCTCGTGTTATTTGTCGCTTACACAAACGGCTACTCCTGAGATATTGTGTTCTACGCGGAAAGATCGAGCTCTTGGATGTTCTTCATTCATTGATACATGACACTACGTAGGCGGCAATGCGACAGCGGTTGTGCCACGCGTCCTATTATACCTAGGTACCTCCTGAGGTCAACATGGACTTCCTTCCGCTCTACCCCATCCACGACCATCTTCTAGGCTTATCACACCCTCCCAAGTACCGATAGCAGCATCGTTTGCTCTCCTGTTAGTCACGATAAGTACGCGCTGATTGCGCAGCGTTCCCTGGCAAGTATAGCTTTACGGATCTGTTTCAATCTGATCTCCAGGGCTTTATCTAGGTAAGCTCGATGCGCTTGCTGTATCCATACCGGGGCACATCTCGACTATGCCCCTAACACGAAGATACCGTCCACCTAGTTCAACATCCTCATTAAGACCTTTGCTCCAAGAAGAGCTCATTTGCTACTAATGAAATCCTTCAGTAGATAAATGCTAGTATACGAAGTGCGATGACCTAAGCACATGTCTTCGACCAAGTAGCGGAGCAGTTTAACCATTGATACGCACTGTATCAAGCGCTTTCTCAGTGACAGGATTGATATTAGGATAACTATGTCTGGTTCTCGATGTAACTGTAATACAAAACTCCGTGAAGGAAAGACAATTCCGAAACAGTAGTGTGTAGGACCATATGTGGAAGGCTACCGAAAGCAGTGTAATTACTGTAATGGATTGGTACGCGCAAGTGCGCCTAGAGCGCACACCATTCCGGAACTCTTCCAGTTTTGTTAATACGAGCAGTGGTGACTGCGTAAAGCATGAAATGCTTGGGCAGGCCTCGTAAGGGCCCCACAGTCTCGTCTTCAGATGGTACCTCATATACGACTCGTTCCTCGGCCAGGCTTCTCGGAGATTCCACATTCAGAATTGCATTCTTTCCCGCCTCCGCCTCTGCATACTCTATAGCCTTGTCTTTGTCTACGAAGACTTGGACGCCGCCCTCTATTTCGTAGGGAAATGAGCCTTGTTCGAAATACTTGTCAAAGCGCCAATTCGAGTCCGTCAAAAAATATCTTTTTGTGGGGGCCGCCTTCGCGCCCATTATAAATGGAAAAGATGAGAATTTGGTTGGATTTTTCGCAATGTCTTCGTCAAGCTCGATATCAAGCCATCGCATTTCGGCTTTTCTGACGCTGACGTAAAATACCCTCAATCCATCTCCGTATGTAGCCTTTGGTTCTTTTGGAGGCCGGTATTCGTCCATATCCTCGCCTGCCGCGAGCTTCTTAATGGCTACCGCGGCATCCTTCTGGAATCCTTGGTTGAGAGTGATTTTCTGCTCTGTGAATACGATGTCATCCGGAGTAGAATCAGGTAGCAATTTCGGAAATGGCCGTTCGAAGTCGGGGTCTCCCGCCATTTGAAACAGATCATTCACAGCGTCGACCATCTGACTTTCCAACCGGGGTTTCGCAACCTCGGGTATAGGGTCGAAATACTCTCCTAGTATTGTATTGGCAAAAATCTTCGCCTCACTGTTTCGATGCTCCTTTGCGTTGCTGAAAGGGCCATAGAGTCTTTGTCGGCGGTCCTGCTTCATGACGATCCAGTTCGTGGCATGCTCCTGGTTGCGCTCCTGACTCGACATGGTGGGAGGTCGTTTTCTGGTCTGACTGTTGATCTCGAGATTCGGAATAGGTAACAAGATGATGTGCAAAAGACTTTGGTTATTTGCTTGAGTAGCTGTGTGAAAGAATTGTAGAGTCCAAAGCCGCCCGCCCTGGAGACCTTTTATACCTTCCCAGAACATGACTCTTCATATCAGCTACATGTCAATACAGTCATCGCATGACGGAGCGAAGCGAATATGCTTGTCGATGACACTGGTCTTCATAGTCATATGGGGAGTGCACTACCTCTAGCATCCGCAGCATGAGCTGTGCGAGGTCCGCGATGACTTACTGCTGCGTCAAGCGAGTCTTTCCGGGTTCTACATCGGTCACCATCTTGTGATTAGGACGCCGAGAGATCTAACCAGCGGGAAAGTGGGCTCGAGAGACTCATCGAACACATTTCTACTAGCGGAGTAACACTCATCGATGTGAGCGAGGTGGGCTAGCATTCCGATACGCCGCTGCACGTCTCCACATAAGGCTCCTTCGACGAAAGTCGTCCGTCAGCTCGGGTTCATGGAGGGTTACGCAGTGCCCGGCACAGACGTGAGTTCTTTGTCAACAAGGTGGGACCGAGGGACTGCTCCACATAACATGCGCAGAGGCCTCAAGCTCGACATACGTATAGGTAGCGGCCGTCGCGTGACTTTGATTATGATGTGGTCATTAGGTGTCAAATGTAGACCGACCCGTACGAAGAAGCTCTAATGTTCGCCGCTCTAGTTATCTGGCATTGCAATGGTCTGCCGCGCCTCCGACGACCACTCATTTCTGTCTATACACGCGTTATTGACGAATGAATACCATGAGACTCACTGTGTACTATGATAACGTTGATGTAGATGCTCAGATGTTGCTACAACATCCCTTTGACATCTCGCCATAGGTGCAGTAGTCCGAGCGTCAAGACTTTTGATACTTCATCATCGTATCAGACAAAGTGAACTAGTCCAATAGAAAACCGCACCACGTATGGTCTGGTGGAGAGCGTAAGAAAAAAGAAAGAGATGATGGTTGGAGGGAAGTCGCAGTGCTTTCAGCTTGAGCCGGGACTGGGCGTCACCGGCTAGCGTGCCGCATCCAGCCGTGACGTGCTTGGCGTACACCAATATCTACGCATACTTACTACTGCGAACGCATAGATAAGTCTTCACCCCATCGTGGCCAGGTGACTTGCATAAAAATCTCAGTTGGATAAAACTATACGAGTGCTATGCCGATAGCAAAAGCGATTTGAAAAGGATGAACGATAGGTATACCCAAGCGCCATAACCGTATCTGTTATCCAGGTTCTTCTGGTGCTGAAACGCCAATGATGCAAACAAAAAACATGCTCTAGACTTCGTATCTTCCTCGGCCTTGCCCAGTGACCTCGTTGCCGAACAACCGTCCGGCGTCAACACAGTACCGAGCCTCTCCTTGCCCGTCGCTTCCTACTTCACTGCCCCAGCACACAAGCACTGCGTCCAGGATACCCCCGAGAACTCCTTCCATGGCGCCTAGAGCGCCCCAGCCGATTGCTGCGCTGATGAGACCCACGACGTAAGCGTATAGACTGCCCTTGTATGGTACAGACCCGCCAACTTGGAGCATGCGTGCAGTCGACACCCATCCACCGAAACCGAGAGACAATGTTATGACCCAGCGGATGGCGTGGAGAAGCAACTTTGCCAGACGGTATGACTGAATCGATGGTCGACCATGGTCCTTGAACGAGGATGGGCCGAGGGTTGTGGTTGGCGAAGCAGCGGAGATGAAGTTCATCTGTGACAAACCGCGCGCTGCTTGATTGAGAGGCACACCGTGGATGGAAGCGTAGGTCAGGGTAAGCGGGTTCGTCAATGCAGCGATAGGCGTCGGCACGACTGAATATGCGCACATGCCAATCATACCCGCCAGTCGCCTTGGAAGGACGATGAGGGGAAGGCGGACCAGGAGTGAAATCAGTGTTGACAAACAGATCGTGCCGGCCATGGTGTAGGTCGCGTGACTGAGAGAGGCTTGGACCACCGTTCTAGCCGCGGGTGCAGGCACGCTGTTGCGGTGGAAGTACCATTGAGATACCGTGGCTGCCGTCGTGGCGCGTTGCACACCCGCAATGACCGCCAAACCCCAGAAAAAGTCCAAGAAGAATACAACACCAAGCCACCACGTACTAGCATCGATGATCCATCGGGACTTGTTGCTAGCAAAATGGCCGCCAAGGAATAGACGTGTGAACATGAGGATCCATACCCACGCCCAGAGTATCACAGCAGCTAGTGTTGCAATACCCACGAGTAGCAGTGGGAATTGCGCTCTCAGGATCTCACTTGAGAACTCCAACATGCCTGTAGCTTTGTCTAAAGAATGTCGCGCCTTGAAGATGGTGTACACCCAGAACCCAGCGAAGCACAAGGGCCCAAACGAAAGCCAGCGCATCAGCCGGTCTTGTACGCTATCGCCATGCCATGACCCTTTGAAGCTTGATGCGAAAGGGTATACAAAGAAGGAAAACGATATCACTGGTACCGCCAGTAACATTAACTGCACCAAGGGCCGAGCGAAGGACCGAAGGAGCGATAGCCATAGGACTCCGACGATGACCGAAACCAGTGTGTACACACCGATGAGGTGGAACGACGAATGTAGAACAGTATATATCGTGTCGCCCAGTGGGTTCTTCTTGTTCGGTGGCGACTCTTGGAGGAAAGAGATGATCCATGTGCCAAAGATGGCACACTGCACGATTATGAAGAGCTCAGCCCAAAAGAAGTTGTGTCGTGGCGCCGATGTCGGGTTCTCTGGTACGTCGTCGGGGACAGTCTGGCGATCCGGACTTATTGGGCGTGGGTGTTCGAGCAGAGTGTCTTCGTCTGTTTCCTGTGGTATCGGTAGGGTGTTTCGTAGTGGGCTGCGACCGCGCTTCGGCCTCGGCATGTTGCGAAACTGTTGGAAGGGTGGCGGTGGTTCGTCCTGGTGACCCAGGAGCTCGTCTCGGTCCAACTCTTCTATACTCCCCCGATCTGTGGAATCAAGCTCCACATCTACGAGGTGACCTCTCCCCCTGCTGCTGCGGTCTGTAGTCTCAGAGAGCGGCACACTTGACTCTCTTTCCTCGTCTTCTGGGTTGTTGATAACGGTCGATCTTCCGCGAGCTGGCTTGTCGCCCTTCCAGGAGCTCTTAATCCCTCTCCCCAGACCATACCCTGGAGCTTCATTCTCGTCCCTGTCCGCACCTATCGTATGATCGGATCGTTGGCCATGTTCGTCATCAACTTCAGATGACTCGGATAGATTGCTTGCGCCAAATTGCCGCCGCGAGCGTTGCAGCGCGTATTGGTCTGCTAGGTCCCTGTCGTGCTCGGCATGGTCGTCCTCCTCGCGAAAGTCATCGGTGGCGGAGTAGAAGAGTGGCGCGGGCGCGTTGGATGTTCGTGAAGCGAAGGCAAAGCGGCTCATGGCCTGCGAGTTGTATGGGTTGGGCATGTTGCGACGCTGGAGGTAAGCTTGGGAGGCGCGCGAGGACGGGCGCTGCCTGTCGGGGGCGTTGCGGGTTGAAGTCGGCTCGGGCTGGCCCAGTGACAGCCGCGACTGAGACTGGGAGAGGAACTTGGATGCATCTGGGGAGCACGCACGTCAGTCACGCGAGTCCATAAGCTGCTCAAGACACAGGCGGCGGATCTGTCACATGTACCCCGATAAGGCACCAGGTCCACTTACATTCAGAGAACATGATAGATAAAGTGCGCGATAGATGTGTATATGCCTAATGAGCTCGGCGATGGCGGCCAGGTATATCTATCGCGAGCAAAGTCCCGAAGCGAAGGTGGCTCAGGTGCGAGGTCAGCGGTCGTGAGGCGGTCGAGCGCAAGGGTACCGGAGTACAAGAGGCAGCCGCGGATGACGCAGCCTAAGAGACATGCAGCTGGGGGCCGGCAGAGTGCGCAGTGGCCAGCTGGAGATGGTAGAGATGGCGGTGGTAGGGCGGTAGCAATAGGACAGCAGGGAGCTCTAGCCCGCCTAGGTGGTGAGTGAGTTGAGTGGCTGGCCGGGTGCGCTGGAGTGATGGTTGCTCATCTCATCATCGTGCCAAGCCAGCGCGTCGGGTTATCGATTGTCGGGCTCACGTACCTCGTGAACATGCAAGGCACGCGCTATTCCCTAGCCCCCAGAACTGCTCCACCTCACATGCAAAGCATTCGGTAAACTTGTCTCTACGGGTCTGCAGACGATTTTATCTTCTTCTAGTCGTGCTCGTTTGCCTGCAAATTTGTCCTTATAGTGGTTGTCCGAGTCAAGGCAACCCGACCTCCTGCTTGTCAGACCCATGTTTCGTAGTAGCAATCAATCAAAGCTACAGAGAAAAGCAAGATGACATGGAGCCGAAGCTTGCGCAAAGTAAATTGCGACATGCTTTTCACGTTTGCCATGGGTCGCATCCTTCGACTGTGGCTCAAGCAGCTGCCGAGCTATGACCGCATGGCCGGGACCCTGACCTATCTCACTCACTGTCGTCCAACTGGCTTCCTGTCAAACACACCCAAAGCTTCGACTTGCGAACTACTTTATTCTACATACATTCTGAACAATAAATACCGTCTTCGTATACATATCCATCTACGTCTACTGGATTTGCTGTGACCACCGCCCTAAGCCTGCACCTCGGGTCGACTGCTACACCAGCCACACGGCGTCACAAAGCACCATGGCGCAGCCGTGGGACTACATAGCGAAGATCGTATCGTTAGGCGATTCAGGATGTGGTAAATCAAGTGTATGCGACACCATCCCCGTTACCCAGGGCCTCCATGCTAACGCCTCCCAGCTAACAGTTCGCCTCTGCGAAGGCCGCTTCTCACCACACCACGACGTAACTATCGGCGTAGAGTTCGGATCGCGCATCGTTCCTGTCGGCCCACCAGCATCGCATTCCCTGAGCATCAACAACCCCTCCAAATCCTCACAAGCACAAGCGCCCGTATCGCCGTCGAAACAAAAGCAGGAGCAAAAGCACATGAAGCTTTCGCTATGGGATACAGCAGGTCAGGAGACGTACAAGAGCATCACGAGAAGTTATTTCCGGGGCGCATCGGGCGCGCTGCTAGTATTCGATATATCGCGGAAGAACACGTTCCTCTCCGCCACGTCATGGTTGCACGACTTGCGGCAAATCGCCGAGGAAGGCATCGTCGTGGTGCTCGTGGGCAACAAGTCTGATCTCGCGGGGTCGTCTACCGTAACTGATTCGGACGCCGCGAACAAGCGACAGGTCACAAAAGAAGAGGCTGAGGAGTGGTGTAAAGCGAATGGCGTCATGCAGTACGTCGAGACGAGCGCCAAAAGCGGAGAGGGTGTGGAACAAGCCTTTTTGGAAGTCGCAGAGCGGATATACCAAAACATAGAAGCTGGCAAGTACGACTTGAACGACCGAAGGAGTGGAGTCAAGGGGCCGGGAGGCGGAGCGAATAGGGCGGGCGTCAACCTGAATGACGCGAGTAAAAAGGGAAAGCAACAGGGCTGGGGCGGGTGCTGCTAAACTTCGGTATATACTGATTTGGGCTCAGACCATCGTGCCTATGGGCACATTATGTTGGCATACATTATTTGGCGTCAGCAGAGCAGTGGTCAGCTCGTACATAGCGTTATTGTAATGAATCTATTATCGCTTCAGCGGGTACGTTGCCCCGGCCAGAGATCGCGGTCGTGCTCATCTTTTTATTATCTAATAACTTTTTCGTTCAAACTTTTGAGGTGTCTCGTTGTGGGCTCTGACTATAACCGCGACCATAACCATATCTGAACAGGTGCTCTGGAGCCTACATTACTACAACAACGTAAGGTTTGAGACATATTAACGCAATGTAGCCCTATCAACTTTTCTTGGATACACACCGTTAAATATGGCTGTCCAGCTTTTCGCATGGGGGTACCGTGGTATTGCGATGACCAATCGCCAACAGGGCATTCACAATTTGCCATCGTAGTACTGTGGTCGTCGATCTTGTAAACCAAGGTACAGTATTTACAATCAGCATGAAAAAGAATCATCTGGAGTAGTATAAGATGAAAGACTTTTCCTTCTCATTCCTTCTTCACATTCACTCAAACTCATACAAAGTCACACAGACTTAGACAGATTTACAGAACATTACACAACTTAACACAGACCCAGTACATCTTGGAAACGATGCGCTTCCTAGTAGTACTCCTCCTTTGGCTCAGCACCATAGCTGCCGCTTTCCCAGTCGGCTCTCACGTCATCCACGAGAAGCGAGAGGCGGACCCGATAGGTTGGGATAGAGACTCACGTGCATCAAGGGATGCAGTAATGCCGGTGCGAATCGCGCTGAAGCAGCAGAACTTGAAGCATGGCGAACTCTCACTCCGAGATATGCATAATCGAACCTCACCCAATTTCCGTAACGTAAACCTGAACTCTTCGTTCATGTGGTATACTTACACATCATATAGGAAAGCGCTGGACGGCCGAGCGAGTCCACAGTACATTTGCGCCTCATCCAACAACCACAAAAGCGACTCTTGACTGGCTCCATGCAGCTGGAGTCGAGGACAGTCGCATCACGTTCTCAGCTAGTATGTCATAACCTATCGTGCCCGAGTAGAATGAGAACTGACAGTACGTAGGACGGGATTGGATCATGTTCCTAGCCACTGTTGGTGAGGTTGAGGACCTATTCCATACGGAGTATTACAACTTCCATGAAAAGGAATCCGGCGGTCTTCGCATGGCATGCGATAACTACAAACTTCCACAGCACGTTCGCGAACATGTCGACTACATCACGCCCACAATACAGCTCGACGGCTTACGTCCAATGGCTCATGTACAAACAGCGACGAAGCCCATGGCTATTGCTGATCATATCACTGCCCATGGTGGTGCGGATGATCTGTCGACCTGTCACATCTTTTTTACCGTCCATTGCTTCCGCGCTCTGTACAACGTTCCCATTGCCAGTCACAACAATACCGGAAATGAGCTTGGTATTTTCGGACTTGGTAACTATCTCTATCTTCCAGACTTCAAAGAATACTTGAGAAACTGGACGTCCCCTCGGATTCCCCTGGATGTTGAGCCAGAATCCGTCTACGTTTATGGTGGCAAACCCGGAGATCTGTCTCTGGCAGAAGCTGACAAGACAGGTGAGACTGCTTTGGACGTTCAGGCCTCGACCTCCATCATCTACCCTCAAAAGGTACGATTCTATCAAATTGGCCAGTCGAAGTTTATTAACGGTTTCGATTTATTTCTGGACGCGTTGGTGAGTATCTTGCTATCTTCCACGTGACGCAGCAACAGCTAACGTAGCTAGGATCCTACATACTGTACCCACCCGGGCGGCAACGAGCAGTACCTTGGCCCGGGATTCCCCGAAAACGATGAAGGAGAAGGCACAAAGAACGGACCATGCGGAGGTGCGCCAATGAGCAACGTCATCTCCATCTCATACAGCTTTTTGGAGAGCCAGCTCTCTCGTGCTTACCTTGAACGCCAATGTCACGAGTACATGAAGCTGGGGTTGCAAGGCGTCACCATCGTTGCCGCATCAGGAGATATTGGCGCTGGGTCTTCCGACCAGCAGTTCCCACCATCATTCCCTTGCACATGCCCTTATGTAAGCATCCACTCATTCGTCCTTTCAATCTCCTTTTGCAGCTATACTCATCTCCAATAGGTCCTTTGCGTCGGCGCCACAACATTGCAAGATGGTACCATTGCTGGCGGCGAAATGGCAGCCACGTTTTCCGGCGGTGGATTTTCCAACGTCTTTCCCCGCCCAAGCTACCAGGACGACGCTGTCTCGGGCTGGCTTTCCAACTCAGCACCGGCATACGGAGAAGGGCGCTATAATCGCTCAGGTCGCGCATACCCAGATGTCGCAGTCATTGGCGTCAACTACCCAGTAGTGATTCTCAATACCACGAGACCTGTGAGTGGTGCGTCGGCTTCTGCACCCGGCTTTGCCAGCATGATCAATATGATCAATGAGGAGCGATTGGCGGATGGCAAAGAACCACTTGGCACTTTGAACTGGGACATATACGACAATCCGGAGATATTCAATGATATTCTTGTGAGATATAATCCGGGAGGCGGTATGGATGGCTTCCCAGCGGGTCCGGGATGGGATATGGCTTCGGGACTCGGGAGTCCGCAGTATGATAAGATGCGGGAATTGTTATTGTCAGATCTGTGAGAGAGCATGTCGGCGGATGCGGTGAAAGATGCCGAGCCAGAATTGCATGATCTTGTTTAGCAGTACGATGCCTTCTTCGGCATCGTGTCCTTACCCGCGGGGAAAACAACACTTGGAATCAAACATTTCGCATCCCCCTTTCCGTCCCTCCCATCTCTTTGAGTCCGACTCCGTAGAGGCTTGCGCGTTCTCCAATAGCGTCGCCAAGATCGTTCGATCACGATACGCGTACTCGTGGGGTTGATTAACTTTCGCCCAACGAACCTGAAAAACTTAACAAAGCAAAAACCGTAACACGCAGCGTGCACACATCGAGATGTTGTCATGAGAGGATGCGGCATCCTCCACGGACTAACGCCCACGTTTCAATATCCCCGTCATATGATTCGCGAACAGGCCCTTTTGCGCTGATACCATGCCCAGGTGACCGTCTCGAGCGGCCATGACCTGGCGAAAAGCAAATGAGTACATTGCTGAGCTGGGGTCTAGCCGGCCCGCTAAGCTCGCATCGAACTCTTCTGCCGAGAGAGGTATTCTCCGGACTACCCCCATGGCATGGACCAGCTGGTCTCCATGGTGGCTGCCCGGGAAGAAGGTGCAAGGTCGCTACTGCCTTCCTTCTAGGACATGCGGCTTGTGGAACCTGGAAATAACCATGACAGCCCGGACCGTGGACGTGGGTCGCTGCGAGGCTTATCTTCGGGCTTGTTAGTGATGTTGCGATTTCCGGTGGAGATTAGGACCGCGTCGCAAGGTCGCATCCCCACGCCCACAGCTGGTCGTCTCTCGGATTGTGCGAAAGCAGTACTACCGGTGGCAGTTGAGACGCTACTGACGCGGTACAGGTAGCGCGGAAAAGCTAAGAAAGTTCCGTTGGGCGGTCGGTATGCTTAGGGCTTAGGCTAAGGACGATCTGATAGCTGCAACGCAGAGCTATGGCGGGGATGATGTGCCGTGCAACAGCATGCATGAGGCTCAGCTGCAGGCCGCAGATCCTTTTGGTGGCCGTTGGACAGGATCCTCGCAGAAGGACAAGTCGGTGAACGAGTCATGGGGGGATCCAGAATCGAAGAATCTGGAAACGAGGAGGCGAGGCGGAGGGCATCGTCTCAACACGGATACGATGGCGGTCTCGACATGTCTAATTCGCATGGGCGTCGGGATAACCCCCAGCCCCGAACTTCGACCCGCTACCCCAGGTGCATAGATAGCCAGGCTGACAGCGGAGGCCATGCGCGCGGGTTGTAGTCGCCACGACGATGGACGTTGGGGGTTGTTGCATTATTGCCAAGGTGGATGAAGACGCGGTCTGGTCGATGCAAGATGCAAGCCTTGCGTCGGCGACGCAGCCGACATGCTTCCAAGCGTCGGTGTTCCTGGCGGACCGCACCCCCCACGCAAGCCGGCGGCGGTGAGGTTCTGGTGGACGCAAGCCACAGCCTTTTCAGTAGTCCCTTGAACATCCTTCACCTAGCACGCAATAGTTGTGCAACTCGCACAAAATCGCCTGCCAACAGGCACTACGGCGCAATTGTGGCTCCCCCATCTGCGAGCGGAAGCGGGAGCGCAAAGTCTGAAACCCCTGTCCAGTCTAAAAACTGGGTCTTGTGTAGAGACGCGCCAGGGCAAAAAGTTTGAATCTATTCGGGGTGTGTCGTCAAGTTGCCCAGGTGTTGCGGCTCAGTTGGGGCGTTTTGGCGTTTTGGCACGCACCACCAGGCCGCGACGTACACAACACAATGCAAGCCGCAGCCTCCTTTTGCCAACCCACGTTTTCCAAAGCACAGGCTATCAGCCTGCGAGTCCCGACTCATACTGTGTAATCCACCATGTCTAGACCCTCCGAAAAAATAGGGGCCCTAATCCGACTTTTTTTGGCACCATGCTCAAGGTTCTACGCATGTGCCCACAAAAAGGATTGGGCTGACGCTTTATAAATACTAGAGCACCGTATCTCCCTCTGCTCTCATCCACGTATTCCAGTATTCTCATTCTATTCTCACATTATTCTACCATGCCTCCTCAAGTCCCCAGGAACCTGCTGCGCGCCGCCCGCGCCCGCGCTGTTTTCCAGTCCACTAGGCCTTCCCGCCCTGCTGCCCTCAGGTTCCAGAGCTCCGAGGCCGTTCGCCGGACGCCTGAGAACAACAACGTTTACAACGCCCCTCCCAGGACATCCTCCCAACGAAAGGAGGAGAAGTTTACCGCTGGCACCACCACATCTCAGCGCCAAACACCCGCAGCTCCCCTCAAGCTCAGCAGCAAGAACCTCTCCCAACTCCAGAATGTCGCTGTCCCCACCTACCAGCGTGAGGGCGTCAAGCAAGGCATTGTCCACGTCGGTGTTGGTGGTTTCCACCGAGCCCATCTTGCAGCCTACGTCGACACTCTTCTCGAGCAATTCGCCGTAAAGGACTGGTCCATCTGCGGTGTTGACCTTCAGCCATTCGCTGCTCCCATGCGCGATGCCCTGAAGCCCCAAGACAACCTCTACACCATCATCGAGCGTGCCGCTGAGGGTACTACCGCCCGCGTTTGCGGTTCCATCACCGACTACCTCTTCGCTCCCGACAGCGCTGAGGCTGTCATCGCCAAGATGGCCCACCCCGACACCCACATCGTTTCCATGACTGTCACCGAGAGCGGTTACTACATGAACGAGAACACCCACCAGCTCCAAACCGACCACCCAGATGTTGCCGCCGACTTGGCTGGTGAGCAACCACCCCGCACTGTTTTCGGTTACCTCTACGCTGCCATGGAGAGGCGCCACGCCGCTGGTCTCCGCCCCTTCACCGTTCTCTCCTGCGACAACATGCAGAAGAACGGTGACATCAGCCGCAACATGCTGGTCTCGTTCGCCCGCCACCAGAACCCTGAGGTCGCCGACTGGATCGCCAACAACGGTGCCTTCCCCAACTCCATGGTCGACCGTATCACTCCCCGTACCAACGACGAGGACAAGGTCAGCCTAGCCGAGAACTTCGGTGTTGAGGATGCCTGGCCCGTTGTCACCGAGCCCTTCCACCAGTGGGTTCTCGAGGACAAGTTCGTCGACGGCCGCCCACCTTTCGAGAAGGCCGGTGTCCAGATCGTTCCCGACGTGCACAAGGTCGAGGAGTACGAGATGATCAAGCTCCGCCTCCTTAACGGCAGCCACTCTGCCATGGGATACGCTGGTCAGCTCGCTGGCTTCACCTACATCCACGAGGTCATCGGCCACCCCGTCTACCGCCAGTTCGTCATCAACATGATGAACCAGGAAGTCAAGCCGCTCCTTCCCCAGATCCCCGGTGTCAGCGTCGACGACTACATCAACACCCTCCTGGGACGTTTCTCCAACCCCACCCTAAAGGACGAGCTTCCCCGTATCTGCCTTGGTGGCTCCGGCAAGATCCCCCAGTTCATCATGCCCAGCATTGCTGAGCAGATCGTTGCCAACGGACCTCTCCGCCGCCTCACTCTCGTAGCCGCCGCATGGTTCCGCTACAACAGCGGCATCGACGACGCCGGCAAGGCCTTCAAGGTCGACGACCCCATGGTCGAGGAGCTCCAGTCCTACGCCGCTCAGGGCCCCATGGCTCAGCTTGAGATCAAGACCCTCTTCGGCAACGATCTCCGTGACGACAAGCGCTTCGTCTCTGAGCTCAAGGCCGCATTGGAGGGCCTCGAGCGCGAGGGCGCTCTTGCTATGATTGAGAAGTACGCTTAAATGTGCGTTGAAAGAAAGAGATACCCCCAGGGCGGCAAACGTTTTGTGTCGCTTTCAACCAGGCTTTAGGTCTTTACTTTTTGGCATTGCATGTGAAGCATATAGATGATAGATGGGTTTTCTACTGGCGTTTCCCAAAAAGAAAGTGTTATACTGAGCGTTTTTATATAGCATTTTAATTACAGCCTTTGATCGTTATACTATCATCTTTTGCCATGTCATGAGCTGTATTGTTGAGCCTCCCATACTATCTAGGTAATCATGGAAAAAAAAAAAACGTTCCTCACAATTCACGTCCCCAGCCTTCAGGCGAACATCACAACGACCCACAACAAACACCCACAAAAGAGCGGTGTCTGCCATCATTGCTGTCAAAATCGCATTCCCCATCTTTCCACCCCTCAACCAAAGATCTTCCTCACGCGAAGGAAGCCGCGGAGAACCCATGACGTCAGCATGACCAGCGTATGCTAATCAGCGCTCGACACCGCAAATGTGCTTGCTGCAGGCCGCTGCATCCTTATCTCCACGCTACCCATCGCCCTTTCCTCAACAACATTTTCGTCCGGTCTATCAATCGACTCTTGCAGCTCTTCGTACCTTCCCTAGAAGATCAAGTCCGCCGCGACAAAAGCTGGTCGCCTGTATCCACTATGATTACACAGATGACGATGTATTCGCCTCTTGCGGGGCAACTGCAGCGAGCTTGGGGTGGAGTGGTGGAGTGGTGGAGTTCCTCGCGTAGGGAAGGGACTTGCTGCTGCATGCCGCCCACTGCAGAATGGGCTGAGATTGCGAGCCGGGATTTTCTGGACCCTGTGTTGACGGCGCTAGGTTAGCCGCATGGACGCTAAGGCAGAGGTCCCACTGCGCCACTCGTGTTTTCTACGCGCCGGTTCTTGTCGCGTGCAGTTTCCTTCGGTTTGCCGAGTTGCGCCACTGGAGATGTCTAGCTTTTGCTATCGTTCGTTTCTATTCTTGCGCGCTCTAGCTCTGATGACATCTTATCGCTTCGACCGGGAGCTGCGCCATCCCTATATCGACTCTGCCTGCGGATGGTACGCCTTGTATACCTGTATGGCACCCTCAATGCTTTGCACCAGCCCGAAGAAGAGTGTGAGTCCTATCGCCACAATCGCCATCCAGAAGTTGAGCCGCTGTTCGCCTTCCTTGCTGTCTCTCAGGGCCTTCAACAATGCCTTGGACGTTGGCGTGGCTTTGTCGACTGCTTCCCCTAGTAACACCAACCGGTCACGCCAGAACTGGAATCGTTCAAGACGCCTAGATGGATGCCCAGGTCGAAAGTGGCCACATCTGGCCAACGTACTATCTACCAGCGTTTGTGTTGAGTTTGCTCGGCTTTTGATTGACACCCATCGTTTGGTTCTGCGATCAGACTCTGGAAACAACAGGGCGAGTGTGTCTAATGTTTCCTCGACAAGGCCATCTGGGAAAACCGACCTGTAGAACACCACCGTCAGCTTCGCTAAACACTGACCGGATAGAGACGGCATACCTATCTATGGCGAACATGTTGTGCAGAAATGATGCATGATGGAATACGCAAAGTGTGTTGTCGCGTTCCACGAAGAGCAAATGATCGAGCAGGTTATTGGTCCACACCACTGCGATACCTGCCCATTGCTCAATGTTATAGCATACGAGATCTGTGCTGACAACATCGTCTTTGGATACCAGTGCAATATCTGATGGATGATTAAAACAATCATGGACGGCGTTCGTGAACGTGCCTCGGGTCCAGGGCAGGGTATGCTTCGCGGGTATTTCTGGTGAAAGCGATTCGATGCTGATCATCGCAAAGATACGAGTTGCAAGCTTCAAAGAACCATCCAACATCTTCTTCTCTTCTACTATCGACCTTTGCGTTGGGAATGTTTGGCGTAGCCTTTCTCGTATTTCGTCCTCGTCAGCCGCGTCTTCTAGCAGGTGCGCAACCTGCAAAAGGCTCCGATGCGTTCTTGCGCAGAGATGCGCGCCCTCGTCAGTCAAAGCTGCATTGCACTCCTGGGTGTAGTATTCAAAGTATGCATCCCATGTAAAATGGACTATTTTCGGCGATTGTCCTCTTCTTCCTCGCCATAAGCGCTGCACAATCTCCACTCTAGCCTGGGAGCTGACGGTATTCTGGAGAACTTCATCAAGCGGGCCACCCAGGGTCGCCATCCTGAAGTCGAGTTGGTTCGATCTTTGCTGCATGATTATGATCATGTATGTCGCAAACTCGTTTATAAGTTGGCAGCTCGCAAGACTCTGCACCGCCCTCGTCGGCTTGCATCTCTGACCGGTCAAGCTCGCAAAACCTCCAATAGCAGCGCCCCTCGCGGCTGAGCACCCGTCGCTCGTGTAAACCCCGACCCCTCGATCCACCTCTTCGGATGCCTCGCGCCTCTTCTGTGTATGTTTTCAGCATCTTTGCGTTCGTCCGATCTCGTTTCGCGTCGTATCACAAGCCCAATGTTGTTGCCTCGTTGGCACATTTGCGGGGCGTGAGGCCATCATAGGCGAATTATATCTCAGCCGAACCAGATTCCAGAAACCTGCGCCAGAACGTTACCTAAACGTTTACGCATGTATCGGAACAGGAGTCGGTATCTTCCATGCTAGGTACTGGTGGCATGCAACAGGGCCTGCTAGGCTACAGTTCAGTCTCGTCGAATCCGAGATCGTGGACCAGCTCAACTCCAAGTTCATGCAGCGATATTCCAGCATCATACTATTCCATCTATACATGATAGGCAGAATTCTCTCATTACGCGGCGCCTGGTTTTAGGTTAGCGGGTCGACATCCCAGGAATGTCACCTCACCTGCCAGCCCACCTGCCAGCCCACCTGCCAGCCCACTGTACGCTCCATCACCCAATGAAAGAGATCCAAGTCTGAAGCTCCGTCCTTCTTGCGACTCCTGTGTTGCATCTAAAGTAAAGTGCAGCAAAGAGCATCTAGATTGTGAATGCTGCAGCCGCTCCAACGCAAAATGCGTATATAGCGTTTCAAGACTACACGAAAAACTAGGCAGAACACGCCTCGCCAAAGACTCAGGCTCTACGTTAAATTCATTCTCCTCGCTCTCAAACTGTAAAGGTACGTTTTAACGGCCCTCAAATGTCTCGCTTCATAGGTAGTTAATAGATTATCTATAAACACAGAGAACTAACATTTCGCAATCTAGACCTAGAGCCACCAAGTTCAGATAAACCTCTAACGAGCGTATCGGGTTTTTAATAGATATGCCGCCCACCCAGATAACTTTAAATCTAGATCCGTAAGGCAGGCCATTCGTTAAACAGCTATAGGATTATATCTAGGAGCGCAGACAGCGCAGACAATGTCTAACAGTAGTTCATTAAGGTCGAAACCCCACAACAGTGCCTATAAACTAAGAGATAAACCAAGAGAAGAACAGACTAACCTAGAAGCAGAGCAAGGTTATAGGAAGAGTAGGAAGCTGTAAGTAGATTACTTACACAGTCACCCGCTTTAACCTATAGGGGCTTTCGTATTAGTTTGCAGTTAAGACTCGGAGAACCAGCTTGAAGATACAAATATAGCATTAGAGAAGGCATTGAACAATCTAGTTCCACAAGAAAGAGTTCAATACATGTGCCACCAAAAAACCACTGAACCGAAAGCCCAGACTACTGAATACCCGGCCATCGACCGATCCAACCACCCGTAACCGGTACCTGACTGTACTTCACCTGTTCCTCCTTGCCACTGGAAACTTGCTTCCTCCACAAAACACCGTTCAACGTGTCGAAATCCCAGTCGCCAACGGCATCTCCTTTGTATTCAATGGCGAAGGGATTAACATCGTTCTTCCATCCCTCCGTCTCTGCCTTCAACCCGTCCCCCTCTTTCCACCCAGGCGGCTTAGCGTCTATAAGCAGTCTCCATCCACATGGGCACGTCAAATCCTCTGGGTTTTTGACCTTCCCGCACAGCCTCGGTCCGCACCTAATCCATCGCCACACAACGGTGTATCTCTTCCAGCTGTCTCTCTCCCGGGCGTCGACAAACGTCTGATAGCTGGTCTCTTCCACGGGGTCTTGGCTGTTCTGCCAGAGATATGTCTTTCCGGTGGTAGAGTCCTTAAGGACCTTCGAGCCATTGATGCCACTTTCTCGAACTCCTTTTCCTACTAAGGGATCTGTGATTTCGAGACCTTGCGCGGGATTCGTAAAGTAGAAGGGCTTTCCGTATTCGACATCTACGATGGGCGGAGGGGCTCTGTAAAGGGGATCGTCTATGGGAATGCCTGTAGTCATTTTGACTTGCTGGATGGAAGTGGGTTGGATCTGTGGATGAAGACTTCGGGAAACTGTGGTCGTCGTTGGTTGATATGGATGCTTGAGTAGAGATGTGCTGTGAGAAGTAGGATATTGTGCTAAACATCCGGTTTTTATACTCGACAAACGTCACACAGTGACTGTTCTCTCGCGCTTCGACTTAGACTCACCATAGCATATGAGTCTGGCGAACCTCTGAATGTGCAACTTGCCAATACCTGAATGACTGTATGCACCACTAGAGACACCCAAGTGTAATCTGAGCGGTAGGCTCCGGCATGGTCGCTAGATGCCAGATCCACCCAAGATTGGAGTCTTTAATGACCCACAGCCGATTGACTCCTAACTGGGTCTTTAACATTATCGTGAACTAAAGAAGAGCGGGTCTCGTGCGACCTGAGGAGGCAAAGGTACAAAGAAATCGAGATATCTCAAACATGACTACGTAGTACATTGCATTCCTGTCCGTGTTAGTGACTGTGCACTTTCTCTCGCCATATATAGACGAAGCAATGCCTCCAGTCTTTTCCGAAGGCTTCATCGGTGTGTTCACAGAAGCGGTGGTTCTACCATATATATACCAAGAAATCAAAAAAGGGTATCTTTGCGCCGAGTATCATCCAAATCCATCCCATCGTACATGTAAATCCATAACGCCAGTTTCCAAACAGTCCCAAAAACCCACCGCGGGCTGCCTACGAAGGCGTCATCTTGATCACACCGAATCCATCGTCTTTCGGCGTCGCCCTTCCTCCACCGACCATAAATGTCCCACTGCCCTTCTCATCGAACCAGCGACTACTTCTATGCCAGCTAGGAAGGTTTTCGGGATCTTCGTCTTCGTTCAAGCAACCTCTCCTACATCCGCCGTTTTGCCGCCACTGCGTACCAGCCCACCTCATACAACGCGCGAACTCTGCACACCGGCCATTCCTTCGTTTCTTCTGCTGTGAGAAGTCTGTGAGAGTTTGCCGAGGTGTGAGACGGCGTAGGGTTATAACGGCGTGTGCGCAGAGATCGGGTATAGGGAGTGGGAGGTGTGTAAGCGCGAGCGCTGTCGTTTCGAGCGATTCGAGACTGTAAAGGAGTTCTTCTGGCGCTGCAAGCAGGAATGATACGGGCTGTTGCACTACAACAGAGTTCGAGATGAGGCTCGAAGCTTTGCGCCTCAGTATACGCCTGGGCCCAGTCTCAGCCTCTTTTCGTTGCTCCGGTTCGATGGCTGGGACTGTTGGTGTGACTGCTCTGACCATCGCGTCGTCCAGTTCTTCAAGCGCTCCAATCGCAGCGCCATCCACTTCCCACTCCAAGACCTCCTTCTCACAGCCTGCCATACCCATGTAGATAAGGTCTTTCAGCTCCATGAGCAGTTCAAAGATCATACGCTGGGGTACAGGCCGCTGTTGGAAGAGTGTTTGTATCGGCGGGAGAAACCTTTGCGCTATCTCGCCGCCGGTGTATAGGTTCTTTCCATTTGCAAAAGGAGCATTGTCGGCCATTTGTATCTCTATCTTCGACATCTGACGGGACAGACCAGCGGCAAGGTGGCGGATCTGGATGAGAGGGTTTTGCGTGAGCGAAGACTGCAGGGTGGAAGAGAGATCTATCGTGAACAGTTAGTATATGCGCATACCTTATTAGACTTCAAACACCGTCCCAGATACATACCCGTAAACGCAACCTCTCCAGCCAGTGCCACTAGTGCTTCAGCGAGCTCTTTTTCCTTTTCCTTCAGTTCGCGTCTCTGAGCCTGCATGGCCCGCCATGGCACAACAAAGCCAATGCTCTTGCCACCAACGTCTATCGCTTTTCCATCTGCGACCTCTTGCGAGTGTTCCACGACGCCACCCTTGGCATACTTCTTGCCCTTCTGGCCGCGGTTGTCATCTTGGTGGTACTGAAATGCGAGGAGAAGGTCGTTGTTATCCTTGGTATTGCGAAGATTGCGCCAGACGCTTAGGACGGCGTTGGTGGAGAAGATTTGTTGATACGGCGACATGGTGATTGCGCAAGTGGATTGGTCTTCACATTGCTGATGTAGAAACAATGAGGGATGCGACAGGGTGCCGGTGTCAGAGATCTACGGCGAGATCAGGCGTAAAGGGCGCTTTGTTAGCAGGTTGGCGGACGCGATGAGATGGAAGGCGAGGACGACCCATGTTTGTCAACAGACTTAGCCGCATTGGGATGCAACACGTGGGGCCGCGTGTGAGGGGCAACGCATCTACCACGCGCTACCCGAGATAGCGTGTCAGACGCGCAGGATGTAATGTTCTGCTCTTATATTTCTGCTCGATGCTTTTCGTGTACATCGATATCGGAATTGTGCCTTCATCCAGGCTCTATAGTACATTCGTATAGCAGCGCTCCTTCCCAATCAATCCTGAAAGATCAAACACAGCCCCAACCAATTCCGAGTATGCTGATGCGCCGAAGAACACCCAAGTATGCATCGCTGCGAACAATGACTGAACCAACTTACTTCATATTCATTAGATCATGCCGGCCATGCCACTTGACGCGTAGGCCATTGGCTTGATGTTCGGATGCGCAACAGCGTCGAACTGGGTGAACTTGAGCTTGTACTCTGGGCCGATCTTGATGAAAGCGCCCTTGTTGTGGGTGCTGTCACAGTAGTTGGGTGCCGAGAAGACGGTGATGCAGCGTCCATCGTGCTCGACTTCGTAACCCTCCATGCGTACTTCGTGCGACCGAATGATAGCCTCGAGGCCGTTGTTCTCGCAGAAGCGCTTGGTGATGTCGGGTCCGAATTGCAGACCGACACCGCGCTTGCTAGGTCCACGGCCTGGGTTTGTCTGCGGGTCGGTCCAAAGCATCTCCATCATGAGCCCAGACTGTCCTGGTTGACGCTGCTTGAATCGGTCGAGCTTTCGCACGTCGTCTAACGTGACCTTGTCGTCTGAGAAGAGGCCGCCGTGGAGCACAAAGTACTTCTTGCCGATGAGGGTGGCGAGAGGAAGCGCGGAGAAGGACTCCGAGAACAGCTTAAAGACCCGCTCGGTGTATTTCGCCCTGCATTCACCCTCGAAACCGTACATCCTGTTCATGTCGTCCGTCTCGTGGTTTCCGCGGTTCAGGAAAAAGCTATCGGGGTATAGCCATTTGTAGGCGTAAAGCAGCAGGGCGATCTCGGTGGACCAAGAGCCTCGGTCGACGAAATCGCCGTTGAAGAGGAACGCGTTCTTTTCGGAGGGCTTGCCGGCGAGGCTGAAGATGTTCATGAGATCGAAGAATTGGCCTAGCTTTGTCAGTACGCAGTATATCCACTCCTTCTGCCTGGGACCTACCGTGAGTATCACCACAGACAGTGATCTCTTTCCCATCTGCAACATCGTGCTCGACCATGGTGGGCTCCTTCTTGACAATATCCATGACTGCGATGATGATCTGGTAGACGTACTTCTTGGCCAGCTTCTTTCCGTTCTTGAATCGCTCAATCATGTCTTCGACAAACTCCAGTGTCATCTTGTCTCCCAGCTTTGCGCCATCGTATGAGGGGTCTACGGCCATGTGTTCCAAGTCTAGGCCCTCTGCTGCCGACGGCGCATCTTCGACCTCGATGGCCTTGAGGAAGGCGTCTCGCTTGACGACCTTGTCGCACTCGGCCATGCGTAGCTTTGCGTTGGCATCGTTAGGGGCTTTCTTGACGACGAGCTTCCAGTCGCGGAGCGCTTCACGGTGCCTGAGGATGGCGGTGTTCGCTGAGGCGCGGCGGTAGTATGCCTGGTGCTGCGATGAGCGTCATAATGACGATATGAGTTTGCGACAATAGTACCTTGACGTTGTTTGGGTCCAATTCAATCGCCGTGTCGGCGTCTTGTATAGCGTATCCATACTGTTCGAGTTTGATGTATGTCTGGAGGATAGATTAGTACATGCTCGCGAGGCGCAGGTGGGCTGTGTACTTGTGCGCGGTTGGTGTAGAACGAGGGCTCTGCGTTGTATGCCTCTATCGCTTTGGTGTAGAACTCAAGGGCATTGTCCCATTCCTGGTTCCTGAAGGCATTGTTGCCCTGGTCCTTGAGCTTGGTGGCTTCGTCGGTCGGGGCACCCATGATGTATCGACGCAGTGCGGGACAAGCTGGGTTATGCGAGGCACGCGGGCAGCGGGTGTAGTTGCAGAAGGCGCGACGGGCTGGTGCACCTGTTGGTTGACGGGAGGGAAGCTGCGTCCCTGCGCGTTAAGAGATTTGAATAGCAAACCAGTGACGTACGGCAACAAAATGAAGGTGACCTGTCGCCCGCACTGCCCGCCGAAAGTTATCAAACGAGTCTGTCCCGCCATCGCCTGGCCTTGCCGCTAAACGCCTCCACCAACGCCCAACCAACCAGAGACCTCGGCTCCGACTAGACATCATGGCGCGCAAGGGTAGGGCAACGGTCAAGACACCTAAAGATCGCTACATCACCGTCGACTCTGACGGCGACGAAGTCGAGCCTGATGTCACCCCACCTCGCACTACTACACGTCCCCGAGGAAATAGCAGGGCAAACGAGGAGCCATACTTTGCGCACGAGTTGGAGAATGTCGATCCCGTAGCCTCGCGTGAGCGACTAAACCTCTCTAAAGCGGTGCCCGAGTCAGGTCCAGAGCCAGAGCGCCGACAGCCTCGCCAAGCTTCCGGAACCGTGGAACAAAGTAGGACACTTGCGGACGCTCTGTTTCCTGTCAGCTTCGACAACGACCTCCGTCCTCCCATCGAGTATTTCGGGTCGCCTACATCCATCTTCGACAACCAGACTCCGCTTCACCATCAACAGCTTCTACAGCAGCCCCATACTCCTCCTCAGAATCCTCCTACACGTCCGCGCGCTGCAGGTCGAGGTCGCGACAACTCTGCTCTAGACGCCAATCTCCCCGGTCTTACTGAGCGCCCCGCTGTCACATCTAAAACCCGCCATCAGCTAGGTCAGCAGCCGCCCGCGAACCCTCGTCCCAACGTCGAGAAATCCGAGATGGCACAGAACATGATCCAGGGCGGTGCGCACATACCGCCAGGCCAGCAGCGCAACATGCGGGCCTGCATGGTCTGCTCCATTGTCCGAACCCAGAACCAGTTCCTCACCCAGGGCTGCCCCAACTGCGAAGAGATCATCGAGCTCGCTGGCAACCCCGAGCAGATCAACGACTGCACATCGCAGGTTTTCGAAGGCCTCATCACTGTCGCGGATACATCAAGGAGCTGGGTTGCCAGATATCAGCGTCTGGAGGGCTACGTCCCGGGCGTCTACGCGACCCAGGTTGAGGGTATCCTCCCGGAAGACGTGATTGGCGCGGTAGAGAGCGCGGGTATCAACTACGTGCCCAGGGACGGCAGTGAGCAGGATATGCTTCCTAAGGACTAAATGGGGGATCGTCCAAGGACAGGAGCGGAAACATTTGTCGGACGCGGCGTATGAGAAGGAGAGGAATACCTGCATTGCATCTTCAGCGACGGAGTTACGGTTAAAGCGCATCTACGGGTGGCTTGATAAGATGACACAACAGCTTGAAGAATTGATCTCATTACAGCATGGAGCACAACGTGACTGGGATCCGCGTGTATATTTTTGGTGACATACTGGTCTTCTCGCATCTGAAGCTGCCGCTAACGCTCCAGTAGATCGCCATTGGGTTCAACTCGCAATATATTGATCCAAATCACCTGCTCTTTCACATACGACCATAGGATCATGAAAATTAGGCTTCCCGTCCGCTCAGCCATATACAAGCATGATACCGGCGGATTAGTAGTTAGGTGGGTGACCACTAGCGAATCCCCGCTGTTGTATGTTTTTGCCAGCACATGTTCTTTTTTGCCCATTTTTTGTACCCGCCACCTTATCAATCTAGGTCAGCAGCTAAATAGACGCCAGCAGTAATAAAGAGTATACGAGCCTAACATTGCTTAACACGCAAGCCCACGATGCATCAGGCAGAGGATGTGAAGACTCTTTTTGATACCGCGATGCACAAGCACGAACTAGAGCTATTCGAGCAGGTCAGGACCAACGCCCAAGGCAATGCGAAGGGACGCGACGATGAACGAGCCGTAGTCATTGCGATAAAGAAGAACTCGATACCAGCTCTTCACTATCTGATCAAACACGGCGTTAGCATCAAGCACATCGACAGTTCTGGCAAAGAGGTTGAAATTTCCACCCTGAAGTTCCTGCTCGCTCATGGCTGGGACATAAACTGGGCAGGAGAACCTCGATCTTGGCAGAGTCCGTTTATGTGGTCTTGTATCCATGACCGCGAGAAGCTTGTGTGGTGCTTAAATCATGGCGCAAAACTTGCTACGCCCGGAGAACCACCGTACAAGAGGCCCATACTCCAGGAGGTCGCAGAGAGTGGCGACATCGCAACATTTGAGTTTCTGCGCTCTAAAAGGGCGCCCTTGGGGCCCTGTACATTGCATAGGGCGGTACTCATGGCGGCGTTGGGTCACGATGGGACGGAAGACCCCGAAAAAGACGAGGAATGGCAACGGCGGAGCAGGGCGCGTTACGTCCAACGTATGGCGATGGTGCGCCATCTAGTTGATACCGTGGGCTTGGATGTGAACAAGCTAGACTTTCCGCGCGATACGAAATGGTTGCAAGGAGAAATGGGGACGCCACTAGAATACATCGTTGGCGTCGGCAGACCAGATACGGATGCACGCGAGCTGACATGGTTTCTACTCGACCGAGGCGCGGATCCGGATGCTGCACTCGCTGAGGCGAGAAAGTATGACCATCCAAGCTTCATAGAGTGGGTGGAGGGTTGGGAAGCACAACGAGGTCGTGAGGAGTTGGAGCAACACAAGAAAAAAAATAGAGACGAGCGCCTGTGCTGTGTCCAATAACTGTCGTGTATTCTCAGCAATGAATCTCGATCGACACATCGCTGAACGCCCATCCTACTCTCATCTAGATGTCGTGCTGCTTTGTTACGTGGGTTGCATCAATGCCCTTTGCGACAGTCCCGACCCGACGAAGTGCAGGCGCTGCCGA